GAAACACATCATTCCCAACAACATCGTCACCGCCAACACCCGAAACCACAACCGAGAACACAACCAGCAAAATACCCATTCCTTCTAGCACAACAACACTGGCATCTGACATCATAACCGAGGCCACAACCAGCAACACATCCATTACTCCCACCATAACAACTCTGGCATATGACACCATAACCCAGTCCACAGACAGAAACACACCCATCCTTCATACCACAACAAAATTGGCACCTGAAACCACAGTCGAGGTCACAACCCGAAAAACAACCATCCCTCCTACCAAAACCACGCTGGCATCTGACAGCACAACCGAGGCCACAAATGCAAACACACTCATCCCAACAACATCATCACCGCCGACACACGAAACCACAACCAAGGACACAAGCAGCAACATTTCCATCCCTCCCACAACAAAAACACCGGCATCTGACACCATAACCGAGTCCACAGACAGAAACACACCCATCCTTCCTACCACCACAACACTGGCACCTGAGACCACACCCGATGCCACAACCAGAAACACATTTATTCCAACAACATCATCAAAACCGGCATCTGAAACCAGTACCAGCACCACAGTCACTCATACCACCACATCCCCAATGGCCCCCGGTACAACAATAGACGATACCGAAGGCACCACAACAATTTCAAAAACTCCCTCATCAGGGACAACTGAAGGCACAACGGTAAGGCAAACTGGAAATACGAACCAACAGACAACAACAATACCACCAACAACGGGAAGCCAAACAACCTTGTTCACTGAGGTAGGTACCACACAAAAAAATCAAATCACAAAGGTTAGCGAAACAGATCAGAGTAAAGATAATGCCACTAGTGACAACACGATTAACAGAGAAGATATCACAGAAAATGCAACCACAGACAGAAGAGAAGAAAACAACGCAAGCAAACAAGAGAAAACAACAGAAAAAACGCCCAGGACAACGAACAACAACGAGGAAATTACAGACAGAAAAACCACTCAAAAGAGCAGAGACGAATACACAGAAAGAACTGCAACAGAGGCGAACACAGAGCACTTAACAAAAAAGTACACAGACTTACAGC